CAAGTTGAAGTAAAAAGATTGATTGATTAGAAACACCACTAGCGAGTTTGATAGGAAGTTGAGTAGAAAACACCACTAGCGAGTTTGATAGGAAGTTGAGTAGAAAACACCACTAGCGAGTTTGATAGGAAGTTGAGTAGAAAACACCACTAGCGAGTTTGATTGAATAGAAAGATTGATCGATTAAAAAAAACAGTGAGCTTGATTGAAAGCTGAGTAAAAGCAACTAATAACCAGTTTGATTGGATAAAAAAGATTGATCGAGTAAAAAACTGAAGTTGAGTGAAAGAAACTAATAGCGAGGTTGATTGTATAAAAAAGATTTGATCAACTAAGAATAATAGCGAGTTATATTGAATGAGAAACTGATAGCCAGTTTGATTCAATAGCAAGTTGAGAATGATAAAAAGGTTTGATCGACTTTGATAAGCAACGAAGAGCCAGTTTGATTCAATAGCGAGTTGAGAATGATAAAAAGGTTTTGGAATAAAAGATGTAATCGAATAAGAAACTAAAGCAAGTTGAGAGTGAATAGAAGAGTTGATTGAATAAAAGAAATTGTGAGGGTCAATAGCGAGTTGATGAACTAGCTGAGGAAGGAAATTGTGAGGAGAGCTGAGCGAGGGAATGAGGAATAAAAAGAGACGTTGGAAAGGGGGTGTGCCGGTATTGAGATTAGGAGAAAGGGGTGGAAGAAGGAGATGGATTGGGGCAGGGGCAGATAGAGATAGAGGGGGTAGATACAGCCCAAAGGCTGTATCTGTATTTGGACGAATATGTGAAGATGTCCGATGACATATTGACTTCACATATTCGAACCGAACGGGTATGTAAAAGCGAGTATATGGGTCCAATCTGGTCCATATAATATATTGCTGTATGTAACTTTTTTGGTGTAAAAGTCGGTCACATAATATGTGACCGACCGAACCGAACGGGCCCTTAGGGCACGTTTGGTACGGCTTATAAAAGTTCGTACCTTTTGAAAGGTACAAAATTTCCAGCGACGGAAAGTTGATTTTCGTTTTAAGTCGACTTTTATTGAAAAGTCGACTTAAAGGTACAAAAAAGTTGAATTTCGTTTGTGTGATTCTTACAGGTTTCAAGTGCTTTAGAAATTGTAAGTGAAGTTACTTGAGGATCCATTTCGGTGAGAAATGGGTCCGTTTATAAGTGTTTTTGAAAAACACTACAATCCGTAAAAGGAAATACAACGTATGATATTTACAACGTGAGGATTCAGCTTTGAGAATCCGAGTTTGGAAAAGATATGAGTGGAGGGATTTAAACATCAATCCCTAATTAGGAAACAAGGCTTTATAATTGTTTACAAAGATGAGAAAGGAAAGTAACGCGTATAGGAAAGTCTTTATGGCTTTTCTAAAAGCGTTTTAACAAAAGTAAAAGATAAATGAGAAAGGAAACAAAAGGAACGAAGTTCCGGAATTACACTATCCCCCACTTAAGAGTCAAACATCCTCGTTTGTACCGAAGGCCTCCTCTGCCATGCTAATTTCCTCTTTTACTTCTGCCAGCGTGAACTCTAGTTCATGCCTCAGGGAATATAGGATGTCAATTTCTTCGTTTTCAATTGTTAGTCTTGATAGAAAACGCAGTTGTTCAATTAATCTTCCAACCGTATTTGGCTGCTGTATCACGGTCATGAAGTTGTTGGGATGCGAAAAAGAAATTATCAATTTTCTTCCCTAAACATGGTTTTAACCTTGAGCCGTTAACTCTTAGTTGAAGAATGTGACCATTAGAGGTCATCAGTTGATACGTACCGTTAGGACTAGCGTCTCGTATGATGAAAGGTCCGTCCCACCGCGGATGTAGCTTCGAAGGGCGTCCTTCAAATCTTCGCCATACCAAGTCTCCGGTTTTAAGATGGCGCTCGACAAATTCTTCTTCTGATCCTCGCAATCTTTCCCTTGATTTCTCATTGATTTCATCAATGTGTTCTTGTCTTCTTTTGGAGAATCTTTCGAGATCTGCTCGACGCAAGTCTTGGGTTAGTTGTATATCTTTCTTGCTAACCAGGACTGGGCTATCTCCTAAAGCAAAAATGGGAGGGAAGCTTGCCTCAATGCCGTAAGTCATTTCGAAAGGTGAAGCTTTCAACGAGTTTGAATGAGAAGCACGGTAAGCGAAAAGGGCTTTGTTGAGATATTGGTCCCATAGCGTTTGGTTATAAGGTGCGCAGAATTTCTTAATAGCTCCAATGAGTGTACCATGAAACCGTTCTATGAGTCCATTACCTTGGGGATGGTAAGGAGTTGTGTGTACATGTTTAATTTTGCTTTGTCTCAAGTAATGTTGAACAAGATGTGAATGAAACTCACTTCCGTTGTCCGTGGTGATTTCATCGGGGTGTCCATGTGCTAAGCAAAGCTGTTTGACTAACTCTACGACAGCTTCAGCCGAGGTTTTTTTGAGAGGGACCGCGTAGGCCCAACCTGTACCATAATCCATGGCTGTCAAGATAAACTCGTTACCATTTTTTGTCTTGGGTAAAGGTCCAACGAAATCCATTCCCCACTTGCGGAAGGGTTTTCCTCGTTCGATAACTTGGATAGGTAAATTTTCTTTGTCTGAATGCGGTGTGTGAATCTGGCATTCCTTACACTCTTTAATGGTATTTTCGATAAACTTGTTCATATTTGGGAACCAGTAGTTGTTCTTCATGCTTATGATGACGTCTTTGTAATTTCGGTGACCAAGGTTTATGTGTGTTGCAATGCAAACCAGCTCCGCTTCTTCCTTTGTCATGAGAACTGCCTTAGGTCGTTGGTCCGGTTGATCAGGGTCGCGCCTAACCATTTGTCGTCTTATGATGTCAAAGTTTCCCGAACCAACAGCTGAGGGGTTTCGTCCGTGGTCTAATAAGTCATAGTATTCTTGTAGTTTGGCGAAATCTACTTCAGGGCTGTTATCATTGTTGATGATGTATAACGGTTCCGCTACTTCTGGAGGGTCAACGTCTGAGGGTGCGTCAGGTCTCCTGGACATTGCATCTGCAGCAAGTTGGTGCTTACCTGGTCTGTATATGATGTGTACATTGTAGGATTCAATATCGTCTAGGAATCGCGCCAGTCTAGGATTGGTGTATTGCTGCGTTTGAAAGTGTTTGAGGCTTTCATGGTCTGTCCTAACGAGGATTGGAGAACCGGCGATTAAGCCTCGGAAATGTTTCAAGGAATGAACAATCGCAAGAAGTTCTCTTTCTTGCGTTGAGTATCGTTGTTCAGTCTTTGAAAGTTTTCTTGATTCAAAAGCAACGGGTCTTAGGTTCCTGTTTTTTACGTCTTTACTGTAGTTTTCTAAGGAGAACATGTCTTTAACAAATTTATCTTCTGTATCTTGTTGTAGAATCGCGCCAATACAAGTCTTTGAAGCATCTGTGTCTAAAACAAAGGGGTAGAAAGGAATAGGATGTGGTAATGTAACCGTCTCAGTCAATACTGTCTTCAGAGCGGTGAAGGCATCTTGTTGTTCGCTGGACCAATTGATGACGGTGCCAGGCTTTAAGGAACCTTCTGTTAACTTGTAGATTGGAGAGGCGATTTTAGCAAAGTCTTTTATGAATCGCTTGTAGTATGTGCACAGGTTTAAGAAGCCCCGCACATGTGTGACAGTTTCTGGCACAGGCCAGTCCAAGATTTTGGAGATTTTTTCTGGGTTGGTCCTGATTCCGTCACCGTCGACCACGTGTCCTAAAAACAAGAGTTTGTTTTGAGCCCAATTGCATTTTTTCGGAGATAATGTCAGTTTATGTTTGTTTAGAAGCGTCAAGACCTCCTTTATGTGTCTTTTATGATCTTCCAGGGTTTTGGAGTATATGATAACATCATCCAAATAAACCATCGCGTACCTGTCTATGATGGGAGCAAGGATGTCATTCATCATGGACTGGAAAGTAGCCGGGGCATTACAGAGACCAAAGGGCATTACCTTCCATTGAAAGTGTCCAGCTCGACAAGTGAAAGCAGTTTTGAGCTTGTCTCGTGGGTCCATTGGCACCTGCCAGAATCCACTCTTTAGATCCATAGTGCTGAACCAATTTGCATTGCTAAGAAACTGGTATACTTCGTCTATTTGTGGTAACGGATAGGCGTTTTTGATTGTGACATTGTTGAGTTTGCGGTAATCAATACACACCCGCGTTGAACCATCAGCTTTCTTGACCAATACAATAGGAAAGGACCAAGGGGAAGAAGATTTCTCGATAATACCTTCTTTTAAACTCTCTTCTACAAACTGATTGATCACCGCATGTTCAGGTGGTGAATGCGGTCTGCCGTGTGCTTTGATCGGTCTTGCATCTCCTGTATCGATTGTGTGAGTACAGGTTGTGTTGGCTCCAACAGTAATGTTTTCGGCAAAACACTCTGGTGCCGTGGTCTCGGCTAGTTTCTTGATTTGTTCTTGAGGAGACAACTTTTCGATTGTGTTTATAACTGATTCTCTTGATTTTTTATTTGGACGGATGTCTAAAGTTGCCGGGTTTGAAGAAAGTGAGTAGATTCCTGTTGAAAAATCTGGGACTGGTTTGTACTCTTGAAACCAGGGTAGTCCTAAGATTAAATCAATGTGAGGTAAGGTTAGACAATATGCACTGATCTTCATACTGAAGCCGGCCACTGATATAAAAAATTCTATCTTACGTCCACAGTCCTCAGTCGACCCATTTGCTAAACGGACTTGGCGTTTAGGTTCGTTGATTACTTTAGTTTTCAGGTCGCTTTTTAAGATTTCTAAGGCTTTATCCCTAGAGATGTAATTCGCAGCAGCTCCAGTATCTAGGATTGTGCGTAAAGGGGAGTTAGAGCTAGTGAAAAAAGTGTATAAAGGTAGAGTAGACGAACTCGTCACATTGTTCAGGTCGTCCACCAAATGTAAGTCTAGAAAAACTGGTTCCTCTTCATCTTCTTTTGAGTCCAAGTGATCGTTGGATCTCTTCTTACACAGGGAGTATATTTTATTCCACGCCTCTACACTTTCTAATTCTTTATCCGGGGAGATACTAGTATGTGGGCCTATAAGAGGGGAATTGAAAGGGGTTTTGGTGAAAGAGAAACCGTCAATCAGTGTGTTGTCCATCACTACATCTTGATCCTCCTCATTTAAGGTGTGTTCAAGATCCGTGAAATATAAAGCATTCTTTCCGTTAGGATCATGCGATGGGAGAATTAAGACTTCTGTTGGTTCCTTTGGAGCTGGTTTCGCACGTTCAGCTATGTTAGTTTCTGGTTCTGGACTATCTTCACACCCAAATAGTCGACAAGACTCACAACACCTGGGTTTGTTGGCGTATTTTTCTAAAAGATGTTTCTTCCATTTTTGATATTTCTCTTCAAAAACTTCCTTGTCGTTTTGAACATCTATCGGATTCGAGAGAGAGGACTGCATTTTATCTAGAGCTTGTAGGATTCTTTCTCGATATTCGTTTAAGTTATATAATTTTTTCTTCTGTGTTAAGTTATATTCTGTTTCGTGTTCCATAGATTTGGTAGTATTAGCATGATTGTAATGATCGCGATTCGCCAGCTTCATGAAGGTCCATTCAGCCTCTTTTGCAATACGGTATCTTTTATCACCTAATTCTGTGGTGTCTACTATGACTTGTTTGTATTCTTTATGCCATTTTCTTAGCTCGGTGACAGATTCATCCCAACTTCTTTCTTGAATTTCATCGCGAATATAAGTCTTGGCGTATTCACTTAACTCCTTTCGAGGATCCGGTTCGAGTTTTCCCATGATGTTGTAGGCCGATTCTACTGAAGACACGGGATTGTCTTCAGGTGGGATATCTACAACTGCTAGATCCATGGGTTCATTGGTGATCTCGGGATCATCCTGTGAATCAGAATCCGGGGTCAAATCCACCATTGTGAGATTTGGTCGTCTGTTAGTCTTACTAGACGATCTACACTCTCGGGCTCGATGTCCGAACTTATGACATTTAAAACATTCTACCTTTGAGATATCCATGTTATCCAGGTCCATCGGAGCGCTCATGGACGTGGTAGCGGTGGTAGCATGTGGTTTCCCATAATTGTTATGGTTCTTGAAGTTGTTACGATGATGGTGGTGATTATTTTTATGATGATTGGAGGAGTGATTAGAATTTAAACCAGTACGTGTCAGTTTATTATTCCTTTCACAGTCTCGAGCAGCTTGGTAAAGTACCTCCATGTCCTCATTGGTTAGATCAACCTTATTCAGATCTTGTTGATAACTAGCGGGTAATTTATCTTGGAACAAGAATCGTCTTTCGAAGAAAGGTAACTTTTCGTCTGGGATCTTGACAGCTAGTTTCCTAAATCTGAGGATATAATCGTTGATGTCACATTTATAATATAGAGCTTTAAGTTGTTGTCGCACTTCGTATAACACTAAGGAATAGCTATACTTTTCAAAGAATTTGGTTTTAAAAACCATCCATGATGGGATCTGGCCATCTTGTTTTTTTACTAATTCATGCCAAAAGTATCTGGCGTCCTCGTCGAGGAAGTTTATGATCAACTCAGTCCATCGCGTGACTGGGTAATTGCGAGACGAAAAGTTCGTCTCGATTTTGGTGATCCAAAGGTCGGGATTATCACCGTATCCGGTGAACTTGCGAGGTTCCACCTTTAGCGCCTCTATCCTGGGCTCCTGTCGGTTGGTACGTACGTTTTTTAAATTATATATTTCAGTTTGTAAATCTCTTATGGTATTTAGTGCACTTACCAATTCGTTGGTAATTCGCTCGTGTTGATGTGTCTGTTGACCGACCGCGTTCTCTAATTCCGCTAGTCTTTGAGCTTGTTGTTGAAACGACATATCGACTCGATCCATGTCGTCTTGTTGGACGGGAATTCGGCCGTCAGTACTGTTCATCATTGGGGATGACATCTTTTCGAATTTTTCTCTTTGGTGTTTCTGTTATAAACGAGGGTTTAACAACCGTAAGTCGATTTTAAAACTGATCAGGGATTAAGAAGGACTAAGGTCCAAAGAAACTGATATGACGCGTGAGAGAGTGGGAAACTTATTCACGTGTTAAAAGAGTTGCTTTGTTCTAAAACGATGAGGCTAATAAAAAAATCTATTCTTTTGGATTTTCGAAGGTGACTAGGTTCTTTTCCTTTGAAGGTCTGAAAATGATTTCACTTTATCGAAGATAAGAAATAAAAGAATAGGGAATTTGTTAGACTCTAAAAACTTATAACAAAATAAAACACACAAATAATTATTTGTGATTCTTACAGGTTTCAAGTGCTTTAGAAATTGTAAGTGAAGTTACTTGAGGATCCATTTCGGTGAGAAATGGGTCCGTTTATAAGTGTTTTCGAAAAACACTACAATCCGTAAAAGGAAATACAACGTATGATATTTACAACGTGAGGATTCAGCTTTGAGAATCCGAGTTTGGAAAAGATATGAGTGGAGGGATTTAAACATCAATCCCTAATTAGGAAACAAGGCTTTATAATTGTTTACAAAGATGAGAAAGGAAAGTAACGCATATAGGAAAGTCTTTATGGCTTTTCTAAAAGCGTTTTAACAAAAGTAAAAGATAAATGAGAAAGGAAACAAAAGGAACGAAGTTCCGGAATTACATTTGGCAGTCAAAAGCAGAAAAGCTTGTTGACCGTTTGAAACAAAGGATTGGAGCCTGCGCGAAGCAAGGCGGAAAGTGCGGAAAAAATACAGAACTGTATAAACAGCCCTCGAAAGAGCACTGTCCAAATTGGGCAGTTAGGCTTACTTCGAACTTCGAACATGTTTCACCATATAAAGAATGTTGGGTGAAATACTCGTTACGAGTAACAATTGATTAATTACAAAAAAGTAACGTTGAGTAAAAAGTACGATGAATAGGCGTGTTGGGTAAGGGCAAAGGGATAGGGAACTAAGCGAATCGAAGACTTTCATTTTTTTAAAAGACCTCCCTCATCTTCCTATCAATGCTTTTGACCAAACTCATATCGCTTCTTGATGCCCATGATGCCAACATCATGTTGACAATCACTGTGCAAGACTTTGTCAAATTCTTATGTGTTGCCGCCGACGTGGTTGTGCGGTCTGAACAGTCTCTTCAGCTCACTACGCACAGAAGGCCTATACAATACCTTGCTGCGAGCCTTCCGCCATCCATACATCACTATCTGGAGGTGTTGTTGGCTATGGCGAGTAAGGGATACAGTCGAGAAGAGATATGATCGAGAGCAGGTGCCGAGTTGTTGATTTGATAAGTTCTTCATCTCGTTTCTTTTGCTGGATGATAGCTGATACATGTGGTTGGATCGATAGTTCCGCATTGGTCATAGCATCAAAGGGCCTTTCCGCTTTGGGATGCTGAAACAAAAGTGCTCACATGTCTACCCTGTACGTCTAACCTGTATTTTCCGCACTTTCCGCACTTTCCGCCTTGCCTCGGGGAGGCTCCGATGCTCTCGTTTGAAATTCAACTTAAGTTTTCGAAATTCACATCGTTCATTAACTTTTCGATATTCACATCGTTCATCTTCTGAGTTATTCTCACAGCTCTTCTCAGTCATCACATCGTTACATCAGAGCACATGTCGGATTCCTCATCTTCGAGTGATTTAGATTTCCTTCTTGAATCTTCTTCATCTGAAGAAAGTAATCCCATAGATCCCGATCAAGAAATCATCGAGTTGTTGATGGCAGCTGCGCTAGACCGCGCTCAACTAGCACAGCAGCCAAAAATACCCTGTCGAACCTCTGCTTTACGTGGTTATATGTATGAGCAAGAAGTTTTAGCGGGAAGTCCAGTGCGATTTCGTGATGTATGCTGCATGGATAGAGCTACATTCCATAGACTTCTTACTATAATGGAGCCTTATCTGGAAGACACAATTCACACAACATCTGTTGAGCAACTTATGATCTTCCTTTACATTGTTGGAAATGCCGGTTCGACTGTTTCCGCTTGTGAGCGCTTCCAACATTCGGGAGAAACCATATCTAGATACTATAACAAAGTGGTCTCGGCTCTAGTAGACTTAAAAGATAGATATATCCGACAGCCTGGACCAGAATCGCCAATACCTGAAGAGATAACCTCAAGTGCACGATTCAGTCCTTGGTTTGATGGATGTATTGGGGCAATAGACGGGACTCACATTCCAGCAAGTGTACCAGAACGAGAACAAGCGCCTTATCGAAATCAAAAGGGTATCCTGAGTCAAAATGTACTTGCCGGATGCAACTTTGACATGTCATTTAACTTTGTCATGGCAGGATTTGAGGGAGGCAGCAGTGACACTCGGGTTCTTGAAGTAGCCAGGCAGGATGGCGCATTTGTAGTACCAGCTGGTGAGTAATGGACTTATATCCTTTGTTTTTGTATCAATACTGATTTTTTGATCACAGGAAGGTATTATTTAGTTGATGCTGGCTATGCCAACGAGCCCGGCTTCCTGGCACCATTTAGAGGTGTTCGATATCATGTTAAAGAGTGGGCTGAAGGTAACCGAGGGCCTGCAAATGCTAAAGAACTATTCAATAAACGCCATTCTGGCCTTCGAGGATGTATAGAGCGGACTTTTGGGGTTACAAAGATGCGGTTTCCTTCAACTCGTTTCATGAGAAAGTATCCAATCAATCGACAAGCAGATCTAGTTGTAGCACTGTGTGTGCTACAAAATATCATATTGCTGGCTGGCAAGGATCATTTCTTTGAGGAATTTGATCGAGAACAACACGCCCGCGATCAAAATCTTGCCAATCGGGATTTTGAACACTTCGAAGTTGCTACTGTAGCAGACAGAGAAAATGCAAACAATGATCGAATGCTTTTGGCTGATCAAATGTGGGACAATTACGTAGCTCAAGGACGTCATCAATAGGCAATTTATATTGTATCATCTTATTGAAGTTGAAAAAAAAACCAAAGTTATTTCATCACTTAGGAGTGTCATCAATAGACAAATTATATTGTATCATCTTATTATTATTGTATCATCTTATTATTATTGTATCATCTTATTGAAGTTGAAAAAAAAACTGATTTCATTACTCAGGAGTGTCATCAATAGGCAACATCAATAGGCAAATTAATAGGCAAATCATTATTGTATCATCTTATTGAAGTTGAAAAAAAACAAACTTATTTCATTACTTAGTTAGTAGAAACTGAACAGTTGATTGTGTATGTACAATAATATATATATATATATGTATATATAGCTAGTTCATATTTGTTCAATAAACTTTGTTTAATAAAAACTGATAAATGAAAACTAATCTACCCATAAATTTATTGTTCCTCCATTTTCATCTTCAACCATATCCAGCGTTCAACATCATCAAGGTTAGTGAAGAAAGAGGCAGTATCTTCATCTCTTAATAGCTCAGCTGCTTTCATTCGTATTTTGATGTCAGGAAATTCTTCTACTTTCTTGATAGCAAAATACTCCAATGCTTGCTTTCGATTAGGGAACTTTTCGTTTGCCAATGCCGCAGCCTGAAGGCGAGATTGAGCTTGATCTTCAATCACGTTTTGATGAGCTTTTAATCTTGCTTCGTTTTGTTCGTTTCTTTCTTCAGCATA